GTTGTGTCTGTTGATGATGAGAATGGTGATGGTGATGATGATGAAGATGATGGTGATGATCATAATGCCTATGATTAGATGACGACCATAATTATGATGATGAATGTGAAGATGTTGTTTTTGTTGATGATGAGAATGGTGATGGTGATGATGATTTTGTTAATGTTGTCATTGATGATGATGATGATGCTGTTTTTGATGATGATGATGTTGGTGATGTTGTTCTTTTTGATAGCAATGATCATCTTGTTGATGCTATTGATGATAATTCATGATGATGATGATTAAGGTCGTGCTTCCTGATAGTTCGAACCTGTTGCATTCCTTCTTGCATCTGTTTAGAATGTCTGTTAGGATGGACTGTAAGGACAAGAGCATATTATACAATTATTTTCAGCAGTATGCCATAACAGTATCAAATTAGAGCATGGCACTGGAATTGCAAGGGCACGGGTTCAAATCCCGTTCAAGACTTTTTCAAAAATTTTCCTTAGTCTTTCAATTTGCAGCTGCATAAGTTGCTTCATATCAGGGCTACTTTGCCYTATTGTTTACCTCTGAAGACTTGTGTGCCACACACTGTAAGATCCAGTCCAATGCCGGTGGATATAGATGTAAATACTGCTGCATCTCTGTACCACAATACAAAATAGATAGATATTGTTAGAAAGGAGGATGAGGTTACTATGTAACATGCCACAGGGCTCAATAACAGATGGTAAGTGGGCAGTCATGATAACCTGCCAAATTAGTTTTAGCTTGGTCATACCTCCCTTGCGGCTCAACATTACTGGTCAAAATGACCAGCAAGGCAAAGATTTGAATGGACTTATTCCAATTCTGGGTTGACATTGTCCAGTGTCTGACCGTTATTTTTAGCCCTGTGCCATATTTAATTGACAGCATTAACAGTTGTCAAGCTTTTGTAGGTAAGGCTGTAAGGTTGAAGAAAACAACAACAACAACAACCATACTCTTACCAAACGTTTTTCAAAAAATAAACCACATGAAAAATCTTTATGTCAATGAACTATAATAAATAAYTTAAAGTAAAAATAATAACTTGGAAAAAGAAAAGAAAATACTTACCAAGTCTTTGAACAGCTAAAATATTTTGAACTGTATCACTTTGTAGCTATAGAAGGAAAATAAAGTTAGAAGTTACCACCGTTTTGATTGCTAAGTGCTTATTGAGACAGTGGTCACAACATGGATTCAATCGGGCAATCACAACTGTCAATCAAATAAATATATTTTTAGTAGTTTCCGATAGACTTTCTCATACAGTCTCCATGTATTTTTATGTACTTTAAAAATGTATATGATTTCAAGATGGTAGTCTATTGCTTGCCAGATCACCATGTCATGACTGTTATCTGACTATCAGCACATAGTTGATAGTCAGATAACTGCTGTTGCTGTGGTAACCAGTCAATTCGCCCACGGACCAACTCGCCCACGCCAAGTCACCCATGCATAAAATCATCCTTCATACGTTTGCCAACTCGCCCACGCCAAGTCCGTTATGGCATATAAAAAGTTCACGTTTTGAAGTCTTGAGCTTAAGATTCAAGTAAGGTAAATCACCAACTACTTTAACTTAGTCTTAACATACGGTAACATATTTCTTAAAGTGATTCTAAACGTGGGTGAATTGGCGTGGGCGAGTTGGCAAACGTATGAACAATGATATTATGCGTGGGGGACTTGGAGTGGGTGAGTTGGTCCATGGGCGAATTTACTGTAATGATGATGATGATTGTGTAATGGTGTTGGCCAATTTGATTTTGATGATGTTGGTGATGATGATGATGATATTTATGGTAGCAATGATAACAGTGGCAAAAAGATAGCATGGGATGAATTACTTGTAAAAAAGAATAAATTATTTAAGACAATCTAATCTCACTGGAAGGTAATGATACCTGTTGGTAGCAAGTGATGAAGCTGTAGAGATTCTCAATCAGATGTTCCTTTACATTTGGAGCCACAAGAATACCAACCTTGAAAAATAATTATGTTACAATTATTCAAAGTTAATTTTCCTTAGAAAACTCATTAATAATTCATGAAGAAAACACAATAGAAATCATGACCATGAAGGTGATTTTATATCGGATATAGATTCATCTTCATTTCCATAAACTTTAACTTGGATTTTCTCTATCAAACTTGGTTCATTTCGTAAAGAATTCTGTACCATATGAGAACATACATCATGAGTTTTCTAAGCCGTTTAATAAACTCGCAGATCGTGTCTTATCGGGTCTAAAACCACTCGGCTGCGCCTCGTGTCTTATACCTGATAAAGCACTCTTGCTCGTTTTTTAAACAGTACATAAAACATTTAAAAAATCCCCTTTTCAATATCTTATTTAAGCTCATATTTATTATTATTTGACTTAAGCTATGGTAAAGAAAGGAAACTGGTGACAGAAAACTTTTGCAGATCATGAAATATATATTATGTATTCTAAGTAATGTGCTGTCCAAAAGGGTGCATTCTAAATTGCTAAGCAAACAAGTATCAATTATTTTACAATAACAAAAACGATAAAAACGTCTTATTTTTAGTGATCAAAACAACCAACGGAAAGAGTGCACGCTCGTTGACGTCAACTTTATCTGTCTGTCCTCTTATTGATGATAAAAATTAACCAGTGCGTGAGAAATTCGTAAGTTATTGTAAAAATTACCATTGCCAGAGGTGCATCTAATATAATTTTAAAGTGCTTACTCTACAGATGTAACAGCGAGCATAGGCTGCAACCAGAGGATCTCCAATACCTCTGATCATCTTAGTGAGTCGGACTAAAGCTTGTGAAAATTCTCTAAAAATAAAATCCAACGTTATTATTAACTAGACGCTTTGAGATCGCATACTCAGGCAACAATAGGAGTTACTGATGCAGACTGTTTTTTGGGACTTCTTAAAAAAAAACGCAAGCAAAGCCTGTGGCTACTGTTTTTTAAGACCAATGGCATCACATGAAGCCCATACAAGCGTTGAGAGCTGGTCCAGCAATGTATGTCTGACATGGTCAAATATTTGTAAAGTTATAACAGTTTTTCATGTGGTCACTTGACTGGTGATGTCATATCTCACATGATTGTCACTGTGTGTAAGAAATGTCCAGCAATGTATGTCTGTCCAAGTTTGACTGACAGTGGTGCTCCTCTGGATGAAAATCTTTCATAAACAGTAATGTAATCCATGGTAATGGCTATAGAATTAAATATGACAAAAATTTATTACCCTTGAGTAAGAAAATTGTAGCTCTTTAGAATAGCTGTCTCCACATAACTACACTTTGAGTCAAGGCTGAGTAACTTTTTTTTCTTTGCTTCATCGTATATGAATATATAAGAGTTTATCGATCTCATTTAAACTGAGAGTAAACGATTAAAAAATTAAGGAGTCCTTAACAAAGGATACAATCTTGGTATGAGTTCCCTGATAGAAGCAATCTTGAAAAACCAGTTACGACATGTTTCTTTGGCAGAATCTGGGACTTGGTCAGGTGTGAAGTTTTCTAAAAAAAAATATGAAACACAATATAATTATGATGTTTTACCCAATATATTATAATGAAATTAATGATGAAAAAACTGAAAACTGAAGTTGCTATCAGGATACTTTTGACCTCAATCCCTAATCAGACAAACACTGAGGGTCTTAAAATATAATTGACAGAAGGAGAATTGCTGCCTTTGTAACGGCAATGCACATCTACAAATGATCGGACCTTCACATGGCTTGAATGACCACCTAAAATACTGTATATGACAGTCCTGTCTCTCTACACTTTAACATTACTAACCAACATCAGAGGGATGTAAAAGGATGACTGAGAAAGTAATATTAAACCCTGGCATTGACCACCCTCTGTGTCTGCAGTACCTCACCTAACCACAATCTAATAAATTTTGAATATATCATGATTATATGAAAAAGGGTGGTATCATTTTCATTTTTCATCACTGAAAGAAAAGATTGGTAGTCGAGTCAAGATTTCATTTCTCAGTGCTAGGTTTATAGATAATTTCATCTAAATATTTCCAAGCTTTCAGCCATATTGGCCATCTTCAGGGACAGGTTGTACAAAGGCTGGATAGTGCTATCCAACAAATAAATTATTATCTAGTGTATAAGTCAATGCTGTTATCCAATACATTTATCCACTGGATACGATGTATCGGTCGGATAGCACTATCCACCTTTCGTACAACCAGGCCCAGGGCTACATGAAATAACTTACGACTGCGTGACCAACCAAGTTATTTCATGTAGCCCTGAAGCTGGCCAAAATGGCCGAAAGCTTGGCAATAAAATAAAATAATCATGAGTAGTGGATATGGGATTGGTAGTTCTTATTGTGAGCTCACCAGGAAGCATAACTGGAACATTACTGCCAGGATTAAATACACTGGACTTCCTGAAAAGACGCTCATACACCAGCTTTCCTGAAGAAAAAATGTCATTTAGTTATTTATCCTTTCATCGTTCCTTCATTTATTCATTCAGTCAGTCAGTCTCATTAAGTCAGTCTCATTCATTCAGTCAGTCAGTCAATCTTATTCATTCACTCATTTAGTCATTTATTCATTAATCCATTCATTTATTCACTCATTCAGTCAGTCAGCAAGCCAGTAGGTCGGTTGGTCAGCCAGTCATTTAGTCAGTCAGCCATTTAGTCAGTCAGCCAGTAGGTTGGTTGGTCAGCCAGTCAGTTGGTCGTTCAGTCATTCACTCATTTAGTCAGTCAGCCAGTAGGTCAATTGGTAAGCCAGTCAGAGAGTTAATCAGTCAGCCAGTAGGTCGGTTGGTCAGCCAGTCATTTAGTCAGTCAGCCAGTAGGTGGGTTGGTCAGCGAGTCAGTTGGTCATTCACTCATTCAGTCAGTCAGCCAGTAGGTCAATTGGTAAGCCAGTCAGAGAGTTAATCAGTCAGCCAGTAGGTCAGTTGGTTGGTTGGTCAAAATGATACACATAGAGTGGCTGATAAATATACTAACCAAATGTATCAAGGATATCTGTGACTAAGACAAACTTGCTGGGATAGAACTGAATCACTGACACATCTGCAAGCAGCTTAGCACACTGCAAAAACAATGAACAAATATAATATGGACAAAAATTAACAAATCATCATTCCCTTCCTCCTCAAGACCTAACATGCTTAATTCCAACATGATCTGTGAGTTAGCCATGCCCTTTGTTCAGACCAGAGGTTGTTGCAGGGTATCAATGAGATTTGAAGGCTTTTTACCCAAGGCATGCACATACACAAATGTATTCTGGAAATTCATTTATAGAGTCTGTGATTTCTTTGCACTAATGTAGGTAATAATTACTATTATACAGTACTATACAATAGACCCCTTGGATGTGAGGTCAATCTGGGGGACGAAATGATGAAAAGAATGTACATGAAAAATGTTTCCAAATCTCAAGAGAAGAAAACTTAATTGTTTTGACTTTAGGGAAATAGGTCGAGGGGTCTATAACTATATCTTAAGAAATACTAAATACCTGAATTGCAATTTTCAATGCCTTGACTCGCTGATCACTTTCCCATGCCGAGATTAAAGCCTGAAATGAATAGTAAAACATGTTATTGAAATAATCATGACAGCGTTGTTGTATTTAAAACTTTCATACATCCATTATCTTATCATCAGTTAGAACTCTAATAAAATTCAGTGATTATAAAAWATATATTTTCTATTTTACCTGATTTAATTCCTCAATCCTTTTCACGTAGTCCTGCTGACTGAGGTTAAGCATTTCCTTCACTGATCCCTAGAAAATAACAGTAATAATTATATTTGTTATAAATCTTATTCATTAAGATTTAATTACAAAATCATATTGTGTAGTTCCAGAAAATATTCATACCACCTCCACAGAGGGAATTTGTAAAACAATCCCCTTACCCCCAGGAACCTCCAAGTTTCTTCAACATAAACTGTCAGTAATGTACTGTAGTTCTTTCTCTGACCTCCCTCCCCACCAGAAATTGCAATTTCCTCCATGGGTGGGGTATGGATATTGTCTGGAACTGCACATTAAATTTTAGGCTCAGTATTTTTTTACCTCCTCAAAATCATCTAGCTGCTCCAACCGATGCTTAACTTTATCAGCTACTGTTGTCTGCTGCTTAATGACGACTAAAAAGTACAGCAAAAAGTTAATATTCAGCAACTTACTTCTTTTTTCTTCATTCCTAAACCCTAGACATGGCCATAGCCAAGAATTCACACTTGAGGGAGAGGGGGGGGGGGGGATAACACCAAGTCACCACTAATAACACCTATTCTTAAAAACCTGCATTGGCTTCCTGTCTCATAACAAATTATTTTCAACATCCTTCTTTTGACCTTCAAGTGCCTCCATGGCCTTGCTCCTGATTATCTCTCTGGCCTCGCCAAGTTGTAYCAGCCTGGCTGTTCCCTGGGGTCTTCTTCAAACTTTCTTCTTCATACTCAAAAATCAAGAACTTCTACATTTGGAAACAGATGCTTTATTCTAACTGCAGCTGTACCTTGGAATAATCTACCTGATGCTATAAAGTACTCCAACTATGTTCCTACCTTTAAATCTGCACTCAAAACTTTCCTGTTTAACAGGACTTTATGAACTACACATCTTTTTTTTATTTATTGTTGTACATGTAACCCGTGCTGCTTGTTTGCTCCTTTCGTAAAACGTCAGTCATGGGGATATTTTTAAAATATCAAGGTAGGTAAATCATAATTTTAAGGTTGTTTATATGCTTTTAATTAATTCATTTTCAGTTCAGAACTTACTTTTGTCTTTATCTGATGAAGACAAGAAGCTCTGCAAAAATATATATATATATATTAAAATATTTATTTAAAAGCATTAAACTGGATTAACCATGTTATGTTGATGAAAACTCACAATTATGGTTTCTATCAATGAATTACCCTATTGCCATGGCATGAAAGGACTTTTTAAAACCTTGCTAGTGTAAGTTTTGTTCTCATTAGCAAAAATTTCAAAGTCACTAGCGATCGGACGCTGTGAATAACGAGCTTTACTTGATGCGGGTTCTAAACATTTCAGTCCTTCAATTTCTGGACTGTGGTCATACTTGCAAAACTTAGCTAGTTAAATTTTTTGTCACTAGCTAAATACAAAATTTCACCCCCATTTTTCGAGTTTGCAAGCTTTAATTTCATGCCCTTACCTGCATGAAATTTTCATAACTATTAATTTCACAATTTTGCAAGTTAAACATTTTGTGATTTTACAAAAATATATATATTCATAAATATAATAGGGTATATGACATTAATAGATAATACTGACTAATATTAATACTTACAGTTGTGATAGAGAGTTTCTCAGATGTGGTATACTTGGTCAATATACTGCTTCTCTTACTGGACCATGGTTCAAATGTGTCATGGTCAAATTCTCCCATTCCTGACTCTTCACCTTTCAGCGATGCCACCTATATAATTATTCAACAAATGGGAATGCCAAAAGGCAGTCATGAGTACCACTAAGCCCTTTCTCCACTTATTACTGTTCAAGCACTCACAGTGAGCTGGCAAGTACTYGTTTAATCACTGTTTAATCTCCAATTCTCCCAACTGTACAGCCAATTTCAATAAGTTTTTCCAAATTTTCTTCACTCCAGTCTTTCATTGTGCCGAGTACTTGTTTAACATGTGATATATGTACACAATTTGTGATTGGCTAAAATTAAAAGTGTACTTGTGTACTAAGTGTACTAAGTGTACTTATAGTTCAAAATTTTCTACTTATACAATAACCCTACTGAGCAATGCACAAGTCAGATCTTACCCTCTCCCTCATGGGGCCAGATGTTGGAGTCTTCTTGCTTGCAGTTTGCTCAGCCATGAACATAGACAGAGGGTCCAGGCCATCAAATGCATCCCCTTGACTTGTGATAGACAATGGATCGACTGGCTTGGGGGCATCCTCTTGTTTTGAAGCTCCAGGAGTTTTCTGGCCTTTGTCAACAGTCTTATTTAAATAAGGAAGGGATAAAGGTTAAACATACAGTGACCGTTCTTTTCCTTTGACATACTGTATATCTTACTCAACAGCAGCAGGGCTTAAAATAACGGCCAGACATCAGTCAATGTCCAGCCAAAATTAGGACTTGTCYGGTCAAATCTTTGCCTTGCTGGTCATTGTGACCAGTATTGATTAGCCAGAAATGTGATATGACTAAGCTACATGTAAAACTAATTTGGCCTGCGATCATTACTGGCAATGATTGGCTATTATTTTAAGCCCTGAGCAAGAACTCAAATTATATACAGTGGATTCAGGTTGCGTGTTTAATGTCGTTGTTTATCGTAATCATTGTGATAGTTTAATTTTTTATGGTGTCATGCAGAATGCCAGACTTTTCTAGGTAGCTCGGAACATTTTGGGCTGTTAAGGATTATTGTTATCAGCCGAACATTTTCTAGCTACCTAGAACTTCAGGCATTCTGCATGACAACATGCAACTATTGCAGTGCAATAATGGCATCAAACTATACCGTTGAACAATCAACCTGAATCCTCTAAAGTTGCAATCTCATGAATATAGTTTTCCAGATTGATAATCAATCAGAATATCAAATGTTTATTCTTAAAGACCCATTGCCACTTACCGTGATGCACCGCGGTCACAGATGAATTTCGTGGTCCAATTAAACAATAACTTCATATTAAATCCTTTTCCGACATAGCACTAAGGCACAATAATGATTCTTTTACATTCTTTTAAGAGTTTATTCAAAAGGTTGGAATTGTTTTTTCAGTGGTGACACGATTCAAAATGTAAACAAACTGTGATGCATCACGGTATGTGGCAATGGGTCTTTAAGTCACATAAGAAAAAAACTTACAATGATTTGTCCAACTTTGAGTGGATGCTCCTTCACTTCTTCAGCAGGAAATGCAGTTTTCTCTTTATCATAGCGCCGCTGCCTGGCAACCCTGAAAATGACAGATTGCATTTCATAATTAATGACTGTCATAAATCAAGCTTTCTGATTGGTTTGGGGCATGTGCATAATGAGAGCAAACAGCACACACTTTCTATTTCTTCATTGGTATCCATAAAACAGGTACTTACTTTTGTTTTATGAAACAAAAAAAACCTGCTTGTTGTGTTAAACTAATCAAACAGCTTCTTTTTGCACTTCATTTAGTAAGCAATAACTTTAAAAGTGATGTAAGTATGAAAGTAATGTGCACTTCTTGAGGGCTTTTGCTGCTTTGTAAGTGGAATATCATTTTACTATATTGTTCGTTTGCACATGACGTCAAAGCCCCCATCTTAGATGAATTTAACAAAAGACTTGTCAACAAATTATTTTGTTATATCATCCAACATGGCCAACGTGTCTTTTGTTATTTCACTCCCCTGGGAATAATTGATAAATCAGCAGTAGAAAGAAAAAATCTGTTGTAGTCTTCAATGATGTTTTCAAACATTTTTGTGCACTAAAAAAGGGAGGATCAAAAATAATTGTGTAACAGATACTCGTAACCTTTTTTGTTAGACACTTGTCAATTAATATTTTTATTGCAAGGGGAGGGGGGATCACTAAAATTTGAGTTCTCTATGAAAGGGGGACCAAAAAAAATTGAGCATCACATTTCTCATTTCTACCAGCCCCTTCCCCCCTCCCTGTAAATTATGACCGGTCCCTTACACTTCTTCGCAAAGTTTGCTACGCATGCAGATGGCTTCAGCAACGTACCTCGCTCCTTTCATTAATAAAGCAAAGTTCCTGACCAAACAGAGCTTGCATACTATCTTAGCTGTATAGTAAACATCTATAAAACACTTGGGAATCGTTACAACACTGGAGAACACTCCCCTGACACTTGAGGATTGCCTTACATGTAATTGTTATCGGCAACAAGCATGACAGTTTAATATATTTAACGTAACATGCACCCCAAGAGTGTATCCTGAATATAATTCCTTCATGCCTTTACGATATTTTGATAAGGATTAGTGGACATTTTTGAAGGGAAGGTCSTCATTCGAGCAAAGAAATTCTCTTCCTGTTTCAAGATCTTCAAAACCTTCCGGCCCCCCTCAATAATAAACAAAAATATGCCCTATTCACGAGACGTAAAGTACAAAAACTCCCCAAAAAGCTTAAGATCGATACATAGACTTTCCGTCTAGCGCTAGAAATGTGATTTAAAGTGTCTGTTTTAGACGCCCTGAGGCTTGAAGTATAGAGAACTACATTACTCACCATTCTTGAGCAGCCATTTTGTTGTGCCGAGGAACCGCACAGAACGATCACCAACACAGGAAGCCCAATTCAAGATATAACTTCATAGCCTTGATTTTCCTAAGTTTCTATATTGGTTTTTGTTCTATTTACATATCGATTAACATATATACTTTTATTTTTATTTCCTTTTAACGGTCGAAGTCGTGCTTTGCTCGTTTCTCTTGCAGAATTTTGATTTGCTTCTGGCGCCGTGTATTTTAGTCTCCTACGCAGCCGCTATTAGTGTCGTCACGCAACGCTTCGAAACTAATAGCGGCTGCGCAGGAGACTACGTGTATTTCTGTAACAGTATAATAGCGCGTGTTAAATTTTCGCAGGTTGATATAAAGAGCGCGAGCATTATTCAGCGACCATTGGCCGATTTTTGGGTCGCTATGGCGGGAAACAAGTTGGAATAGTACTTCGTCTAGCGCGTGTGATTCTGGACTCAGCAAAAAGTCCTTAGGTGTCTACGTCTAACACCTCTTTATGCTCATGATTTACTTTCATTTTATTCAGTATCCACTAGTCCATCTATTTTTTATTTATTTTTGTTAATTCATATAGCAAATCTTATAATAAAATATATTTACATATCAACATTTCTACATGTCATCGCCAAATAATAGATTCCAAATAATTTCAAATTCCTCTTGATGGAAACGAATCACATGGAAAGCTGAGACTGCGCAAAGCATTTGGACAGACAATCAATTTCACTTTTACAATTTTAGCACGATACCCGGGTGTTTTGGAATCTAAGCACCCAATGCATCATTTACAGCGAAAATTTTCAAGTATTTTCTATTATCTTTTGTCAAAAACGCAATATTTCCCCCTAACAACAGCTTCTTCCAAAAATTGTGCATCCCTCCATTTTTCTGATAAGAATTTGCCCATCCCCCTTTTTTCCTACCAACATTTTCCCGATCCCCCCTCAATTTCACCTGCCCCCCCGCCATATATTATGAATGCAGCCTTATGCATTAACGACAGCAATGCCCTGTTAGGGGTAAAATTCCTACAAGAGACACAAGAACGTTCCAAAATTGCGACATAGGCAGTTGTAAAATTCAGACAGACAGAGGACATGATTACCCCTCCACCCCCTCCCCCCTCCCCTCCTGATACATAGGGCCTCAAAAACACTGACTACGTCCAAACGCAAACCTACTCGCGCTTGGTTTATACATGTGCTTCATTTGAACGATGGCAAACTGGGATGGCTGGTTGTGATAGAGAATCCACGGCCGTAGAATCCATCACTAAGGTGGACATCTTTTGAATATCAGTACTTGCTTTCTTCGAATGGCTTTCATCATCAAAATCACGAAGAGATTCCGACCTTCTCCTTCCACCACAAATGAGAGCGACGAGGTTTTGACGGAAGCGCCCGCTGTGAAAGCAGTATATCAGTGGATTGACAGCTGAGTTGACTGTTACCAACGCAACGGCAGCAGGGTAGGCAATGTTCCCCTTAACGAGAGAGTGGTCGTACGCACTGGTCGTATAGACGCAAAGCTCTGGTAGCCAGCACAGAGTGTAGACGGTACTAACTGTCAAGACGATCTTGGTCACTTTCTTTCTGTTTCGAATAGCCGCAACCTTGACAAAACCTTCTGAAGTGCAGCGATTTGATTGGCCCCACAAAGTTTGCACGACTCGTGAGTACAGCACGAACATGGTCAATACCGGTATCAGTCCAATTGTTGTTAGACTGAGCGCGCTGTACACCTTGGGAGAGTGCGCAAACGGCCATTCCTCCCTGCAGAATTTCTCTTCTTCATTGTAGCGTTGCACGAGAAATCCAATAGCGTTAAATGCCAGAGCCAGAAACCAACATGTCCCTACCACGTATTTGAGTTTCTTCATCGTGATTCTCTTGCGAATGTCATGCGGGCGAGTAATAGCAAAGTATCTCTCAATTGCTATGGCAACCAAGAAGAAAGCCGACGTGTACCCTCCCGACCAGGCAAATGTCCCGCCTGTTATAAAAGTACAGAGAACGTCTCCTGAGGTCCCTGTGGGATGCTCAAAGGCTCCTCTGAAAATAAACAAGGGAGTGAAAAAGAGGAGTAGGGTGATGTCAGAGATGGCTAGGTTGACGAGGAGGTAGTTCATGGGTGTTCTCATGGAGTTGTTGAGTAGGACCACTAGGCAGACCAGGATGTTCCCCGTTATGCCTATCACTGTCACCACAGAGAAAGCAGTTTTTAGTGTGATATCTGCAGTAGAAGACATTGCGAGTGAGCTCAGTTGTGCGTGGTCAAAACTGATAATAGTCGTATACCTGAAATGATTTTCCGTAGTTAGTACATAATGAACATGGACTTACTCTTGATCATCCGATCATGACACCCTCCCTCCAACTTTCTTATCGTATCTTATTCCATCAATCATCAAAAAAACCTTATTTGATCTAATCCGATACCATCAGACTATGCATTCTAATCATGCACTTTATCCCAACCCGCCCACCCATCCGATCCATCCATCCATCCGTCCGTCAGTTTCAACACTGACTTTAACCAATAAACTAGCCAGATAATATCAGCACCTAACAGTGCTTTTTAATGAAACAGGCTTTCTTGTTGATCAGCTCAGAGTAGCGCCCGATCACAGAATACACAGATCAAAGATAACATCAGATTAATGCATTTTACGGGCTCTTGAAACAGAGAAAGATTAATTCATCGTGATTATGATGATTTACGGGCTGAATGTCAACAAGGAAATACGACCGAAATAGGACGTTTGCATGATGGCTTCCGGATTGACCTCTACTACCAGACTCCCTTGAACACTTTGTTTTGTTTATATTAGTTAATTAGCACCAATTGTCTTAGAGTGCTCACACTAAATCCGTGAAACAAAACAAGTTTTTGCACTAAATAGTGATAATTAAACAATAGAAAACAAAGGATTCTGTATGAAATAGTACTAATTAGTACTATTTAATGTTCACGGTTTTAGTGCGTGCACTCTACTATTCTCATTAGGGAATACAAATTTAAGTAAGAAAGGAAATTCGATCGCGAAGCATTATGGTAGTGGAAGTCGCTGTCATGATAACGTCCTATTTTCCACAGATCTAACAATGGAATAACGTGCGGAAATTTAGTAAACCGTGATAAAAAATATCGAACTCGATCGTGCGTTTCATTTTCGATCAAAGCTAACTACTCGGGAAATCTACCTAGATCGACTTAATATAGTTCAGAAAGAATAAGATAAGCGGTTATAAATACATGTGAAATTGAAACAATGTTTGAATTAAATATATAAGCTTTCGTGTTGACCTTCCGGCTGATTCCATCACTGTGACTACGTCTTTTATTTCGACTATAATCGGAATTAATTGATCTTTTTAAGTTGTTTCTTTTTTATTGACCGTCAGTAGGCTATTCATGCAGTTATGTTTTACGAAGTATTATCACGGTGTAGACTATTTATTCGAATTCATTCACACACGGAACCATTTTTACGAAATTTTAAATAACTTGGATTATAAATTATAAATATAACGGCACAATACTCAAAGAGAGATAAATACAAGTATGAAAAGAAAAATAGATTTGTTGATTGAGTTAACATCAATTAAAAGGCCGTGATTCAACATTTAAAGTGCTACTACGACGAAAATCGCTCAAACTTGGATTCAGCTGAAACTTCCTAAGAATACTCTTTAAAGGTCCAATAATCACTGTATGAAGTATTTTCTCGATATTCAGGACGAAAGTATGATATTTTTACGATTATTTATTGGACCTTTAAAGAGTATTCTTAGGAAGTTTCAGCTGAATCCAAGTTTGAGCGATTTTCGTCGTAGTAGCACTTTAAACAAAGCTATGTTAGACTTGAACGTACCTTGGAACGATGTTCTTTCAAATTCTTTTCGGTCTCAACTCGATGAATAAAGATATCAAGCCGTTTCAGGACGCTATTGTGTTTCTTCGACTTTTGAACTGACTACATGTCTACAAGAGGTATGGTATTTTGTTTTCTTTCTTTCCTCTGGGAAGCAATGAGAGATAAATGGGAAGCTGCTTTGTCTACGTACGTTGCATGACTGGCAACTTCCGTTAGCTCAATACATTTCGCTTTTGAACTCGTGTTTAGATTTCAGGGTTCAATGAGTCAATGAGTACCTGAGATGCTAAATATCAAGATCGTTGCATGTCACTCCTTGCCATCGTCCTGTCTGATCAAGGGGACATTTGGTTAATGACATTGTATAATAGGGTATCAACGACTTCATCAAGGAACCAGCTGTCAAAAGGAAATAATAAATGAAATTTAATAAGAAATAATTGATTATGATTATGAAAACTGAGAATTTCATAAAAGTCAAAACCTCGTGGGAAAGAAAGCGATGAATGAATGAAATTGAATGAGAAAAAAATAATTAAGCATTTGTAAGGACTATCTTGTCACACTGGTGATGACGTAAGGACGCCGAAATATGTCTGCCGGAAATAAATCAGTACGGTTAGAACCTTACCATGTCGTTTTGATTATCAAAAAAAAAAAAATGAAAACTGAGAATTTTATAAAAGTATAACACCTTGTGGGAAAGAAAGAAAGAAATGAATGATTAAATGATAAATAAATAACATGATAATGATAAAGAGAATTATATAAAAGTCTAAAACCTGGGTAAAAAGGTCCAAATTATAAATTAAATTTGCCATCACTACTCCCTTTTAATTACTTAAAGCTCAATAGAATGATTTTCACATGACCGTGAAAGAAAATAGACCATTTAGTTTGTAATAGTTTTAAATCGAAATCTTTATTTAATATTTTTACGAAGAATAAGAAATTTAATAACAATAATGTAATAATAATAATAAGTTTGTAAATCATTAAAAAAAWAATAATAATAATAAAAGAATATTTACATTATGTACTTTGTGAAAATTTAAAGAGAAAAAGTTACTATTTACAAAAAACTAGAAAAAAACAAAATGAAAAACAAGCATTATAAAAAAGTCTAAAATTATCTAATATCGGCAAGGTTAGTATTAATGCTAAAGTCCAATAGAAAGTCACTTTCGTTGTTCTTATAAAAAGGAGTGCGGGAGCCTCTAATGCATGTAATTACAGCTTTCAAAATCTAGTAGTTTGTAATAGTTGATAAAGAACAAAAGAAAATCATTGGTTTAGAGTCTACTACTAACTATTAGTTTGCCTATTCTTTCACGATCATATGAAAATCACTCTAAGACGTGGGATGTGTGATAAATAAAACTAAATCCTCTATTTGATTGACGTTGAATCCAGTAAAATGTTGCATTAGGACTCACTTAAAATAGAAATGCGTTTTTCAGTCGATGAAAAAAAATTTTCTGGTCGATTTTGAAGCCATTTAGGAACGTTTTTACGTAGTTATCTCCACTTAGTTCCCCTACTTAAAAAATAGGAATTAATTCCCATACGCGTGTTATTTTTCATTAATTATTCTCGAATGGTGGTATAGTTTCCAATACTAACTTCACAACGCAAATTTATCAAGAGTCAGTTTTATTATCGCAAGTTTATTTTGTGCAGCGAATGTAGACGGGCTTTTTTCCTGAAACAGACCTTTACTATTTATATTTCAACACAAGAGAAAATGACCTAAGAGAAAAAATCCCCGTGTGCCCCATCATGTGCGCACTTTGATGCTAGTTTTGGAATCATTGATGGTATTTTTAACTCGTTACCATGCCCGCGCGATAATCATGCTTGTCTTTATTGCCTCGTTTTAGAACACGAAAAGCGCCATATTTCGCTACGTCCCCGAGAAAAACACAGGCTTTGTTTACTGAAAGACTGGAAGCCGCCTACCCTCAAGAAATCAACCAATCAGGTTCTTCGCTCAAAATATCTCCAAGCTAAAAATGGCATCAAACTGTGCACATGATGGTTACAAGGCTATTCCTTCTCTTCGTTCATATTTTCTTGATTTCAACTATATGCAATCGTTTCAATCTGTGTTGGGGAATAATACACAGTGTTGTGGCTTAAGCTTCGTTTCTCCTCCAAAGTTAGCGATAAAAAAAAACAATACTCAAGGGAATGACATGTGTTAGTTTGAAAGGAGAACATTAATGATTATGATTGATTGTTATTTTCAGCAAGTCATTCTTTCTCCAAACTGCGAATGCTTCCTCGTACTTTAAACAATTTCATCACCATTCTCCGCGCGGTCACAAAATCCTTTTCAGGCTTCTCGAATGAACTGAAGTCACTGAAGGTTCAAATCTCAGTTTCACCGCGGCTGAGAGAGGGCTGCGGTTCGTGATCTATAGTGATGGGCTGAGTTCTCCTTCTGCGCATGCGTAAGCACATGCACAGCTCTCTAGAGTCAAACCTTATCAAGTTTTTAAGGTGCATACGAAAGCGACTGCTATGCAAACAATAGATGAAAGGATTTGCTGCCGAGTTGACGGTTAACAAAGCTACCGAGACAGGATAAGCAGGGGTATCCCTCAGAGATCGCACATAGGACCTTATCATGTACAGAAAGGACTGTGGAACCCAGCAGAGCGTGTACAGAATGCTCACAGTCAATAAAATCTTAGTAACTTTCTTTCGACTTTTAATGACAGACAGTTGGGAGAAACCGCTGACCGAATGTTGCGCTTTGAACCACAGAGCATAGACGACCTTGGAGTATAGCAGAAACATGATCACTACTGGAATGCAACAGACAACTAGAAAACTTAACGTTTTGTAGACCTGTTTAGAATAGACCTGTGGCCACACACCCGTGCATTCTTCTTGCTGTACGTCATATACTTTGATAAAGAATCCAATGGCGTTCCACGAGAGTCCAAGGAATAGACAAAATATGACGATGAATCGAAGGCTTCGTAGTGTGATGCGCATGTGCAGGTCGTGTGGACGAGTGATCGCTAGGTATCGTTCGAATGCGATGGCGATGAGGATGAAAGCTGATGTATATCCCGAGGTCCAGGCCAGAACAGTCATAAACTTGCAAAATAAATCGCCCGATGCCTTGGTATGGTCGTCAAAGATGCCCTCAAAAGCAAACTGCGGGCTCAGAAACATTAAGAACATCATGTCAGAGATGGCTAGGTTAACGAGAAGGTAGTTCATGGGTGTCCTCATGGATTTGTTGAGGAGAACCACTAGGCAGACCAGGATGTTGCCAGCTATGCCTATCAGCGCGATGACAAAGAAGACAAACTTGAGAGCTATATCGCCTGCTGAAGCCATAATGAACAGAGCTTTCGAAGGGAAACCACCTATTAGGGTGAAAAGATGAAATTTATTTCAGAACAGTTAAAAAAATCCCTTCCTTATGAACACCTTTAAAGCAGGTTAAACATGGCGAAAGTATGAAGGCAATGTTGGATTAGTATAATGGCTTTTAAAAAGTTTTAGAAAAGCTGATCTATAGACACGCGGGATAACGAGAGAATACGAAAGGAGTGTGGCACGGAGCGGAGATTCTCTTCTATAAAAGTGATACTTGTTTTTTGTTTCTTTGTTGTTTTTTTTTCGCAAAAAAGCTTTTGTAAGTTCAGAGCGCGCGGGATAAAATGAAATTCAGTATTTTATAGATACTCTCTTTAAGGTGGCACATGACGGACATGCAGCAAGTTTGTGCGCAGTTTTTTTTTTTTTTTTTCTTTTTTTCCGTTTTGGGCTGAGTTCTAGATTTAATTTTCGACGATTTCTAAAACAAATTCTAATCGATTTAAGCATAGTTATTGATGAGGTATTTACTATGATTTAAGGTATTCTATATCTGTAGAAAAACGTCAAGAAATTCTCCTCAGCTTAGGAGGAGGGGTTTATCGTTCTTAATCTATAAGATCTATAGTCTATTATATTTATGTTACTGTAGATTTACTGTTGTGCTATTCAGGACTCTATTTAAACTAGCCTTGCTAAGCTAGATGTGCCTGTGGAAATATTGACTTAAATAAAGTATAAAAATACAAGAAATACCGAGAACGCCCTCTTCGTGGTACTTAGAAAAATTGATCATCATTACAATTTCTTAAATGAATTGTAATCGATTGAAAGTTAAGAAAGAAAAATATTGCAAAAGAAAAAAAAGTTAAGTAGGCATAAGTTTCAGTTCACCCATCCAGGTACTAACTCCGCCCAACCGGACTTGACTAAGTGTCATAGAAGCCCAAGATTTTATCCGCTGGACCACGGTTCCAGGTAAATCAGCATAACAATAGCCATGAAAACAATGCACC